TCGCGAAATTTATTTTGACTTTATTGTATGAATGTATCGATTTGTTTTCGAGTCCGATGTTTTATGTACAAATTGATCAGAAATCTCAAAATTCTCTTGCATTTTAAACGACAGAAAAAATTATTATCAGCTCTGGCGCGAAAAATGTTGACCCTTAAAAATAGAACTTTTCTTTTCGAAATCAGTCTGTACTACTGTTGATATAGGTATAGACGAAACTCGCACATATGACATCCAAAGCTTGAGAATGTACATTTGTGTGAAATTTTAGATTAATGAATTATTCTTTTTGATTTTCATTACTATTGTCATACATCATCTTTACTACAATCAATGGCATACGAACAGTTCCAAAAGCTTATTTATTAGGAACAACGTATGAACTTGTATCAGCATCAAACAAATTATACAAAATTGATCCATTAACTGGAGAATTTACAATATTCACTCTTTTGAGTGATTACAAACCTTATGATGTTACCTACGATCTTATTAATAAGATATTCTATGTTTTTGGTAGTGAAGAAACAATAAGAAGAGAATCAACGACGTCATTGATTTTGATTAACCCATTCAATGGTACAAAACATTATCAAACAATTATCACAGAAAATTATGCTGAACTATTTGGTTTACGTGTTGATAGTAGTACAGGAAAATTATATTCATTACAAATGACAGACACAGGAGAAAATCCTGTGAGTATTGTCCAGATAGATCCAATTAATTTTAAAGCTAAACGATGGGTAAATATTACCAAAGCTAATGGTGTGCAACCTGATTCAATGACAATCTTTTATAATTTAACAAATCATCAATACTTTGTGACAGTACCGTATGGTATCAAAGATGTTCTTGTTGGTATTGATTTACAGAAAAGAAGAATAATAAGTCAAATTTCAAATTCTGATTTACCATCGTATTTATGTTATGATAATAAAACGGATGCTTTCTATAGTATGCAAAACTTTAAGAGTAAGCGTGGCTGTCGTTTAGTACGTTTAAATCCTTATAATGGCACCATGGACGTTTTATCCCATGATTTTAATAATTACGAACCATCGACTGGAAATTGTTATGGAGGATATTATTTTACAATGATTATTCTGAATGTAGAAATACAGAAAATACTAACATTTGATTTAAACAATAATGGAAAATTAATAGCGAATAAACCAGCACAAGAATATTTAAATGCTTTAGCACTTATTCCAATTTAGTAATGATTCCTTGACAACATTACAAGATTTTCTTTAATAAATTTCATGTTTTTCTTTCTAAAAACAAAACATTTTGGTAGTAATTAAGTAAAGTCCTTTTGTACCATGCTGCAGCCATTTTTTCAACCTAGAAGCGAATGGAACTTAGAACGTTATTTTTTATATATTGTACAGAACCCGTTTCTTCCATCCCGAAAAATTTTCGGGATAATCTCGATTATCTCACGAGATGAGACAAAAGAAAATTTTTAGGATTTGAAACTGTCTCGCAGTACTCTGTTTTTATTCAGCACTATGTGTCATTGTAACGATTACTTTTTTAAAAGACGAGCAACTAAAACACAAAGAAAAACTGACATCTGTATTATGCAAGTATATTATACTTTCTTGGGCAAGAATTCAAGAACATGAATGAATAACAACAATAAGCAATAGGAACAATAATCACAAGTGCTTTAGTTATTTTTAATGGCCTTGAGTGGTGACAAAAGATGTGTCCATAGAACATGACATTCAGGATCAAGAAACTCAAGAATGTCATGCTCTTGCTAAAAAATGTTCGCCTAGGGATAACTCTCCAAATCCTATAAAATGAAATAATCGGCAGATATCTTTTGCAAAATATCTAAGAGATGAATTTAATCTTATGATTTTTGAATCATTAAGGTTCTATGCCATCTAATGACAACTTCATAGTTGAAGCGAAATCATGATCACGATAACTTGACTCACCCATACCCTTAAGATTTTTCTCATTGCACTATCCGATGAAACTATTGGGATCTTGAGGGTAGCACTTTATTTTTACTTTATCAGGCAAAGTAAAATAAAGTGAAAAAAATAAAGTAAAATATTTTCAAATTTTTCAATCATATCTTATAGGTCAGTAACATGTATAGATAATCTTGCAATGTACAAAAGTTCATTAGATGTCATTTCTCCTTTAAACTTGCACAAAATAATATAAATCAACCTGAAAAATATCGATTTCTAAATTAATATATGAAAACTATTGTGTAGCGAGGTTTTGTTTTACTTTTTTCTCCACTTTTAAAATGTTCTGCATTACTTTATTTTACTTTACTTTATTATTTTCAAAGGAAAATAAAGTTAAAGTACCACCTCTACTTACGAACCTATAGACTTTGCCACCTATGAATGTAGGATATCTTTGTGCACAGTTCGACCTTTTGTTGGACCGATTCGTCCAGTCATTAGTTCCAACTCCGGTCACACTGGTTCCAAGTAGGACTCGACGAGCTCTATCGATTTCACTAGTTACTTTATCATTTACCACCTTCATTGCCCCCCAAAACTACGAAATACTGCAAAACACCATCCTCACACCCACACGCACCCTCAAAGAGGTCATATCCTATCAATGTACTATCATTTTATGATATTTTCAGCCTAGAGAAAAATCAACTATTTGTGATCACCGCCTTTCTAATGACTATAGATCATTCAAAAGCTCATTTGTACAATCAAAAACTAGGTTTTTATGTCCCACTTGACATGCTCTATCATCTGGATAGATCAGAAAATCATTTTGAAAAAGAAAATTTTTGCTAGAAAACTGGTTTTCTACAAAATCAGGTCTCTAGAGGTCTATGGGCAAATGTTATGGTGATATTCGGAATCAGCATGGTCGATAACGTTAGGTCCACGATATCTAATTGAAAGAGCGATTAATCAATGGCATCGGTTCCCTCGTCAGAGGTCATATCACTATTTTCAATACTTATTCCCAACAAAATTAACGCCGATGACCATCGGAGCATATTATAAATTTTTTGGCTTATTTGGATCAAACATTCTTGTGTCCTATATTCTGATTTTTCATTATTTTCGAGAACAATTTCAAAAGATGTGCTGGATCTGGCTTTTTCTCAGTGAAGAACGACATCAATGTTCGGTGAAGCACTCATTTGTAAATACTTCTCACGAAGCCACAGTTCGATGTTCAGTTTTAATTTCGATGTACTTCGACGAAAGAAACACGATGATGAATAAAGTAATGCTTTTAAATATATACAGAACCATTTTCAAAAGAAGGAGTTCTCGTACATACAACATAGTTTTATACTGAACCTTTTTTCCGACTGAACTCTTGATGATTCAGTCGCTCGTCCACAAAAATCCTGAAAAGTTCTGCAGTACTATTATCCTTTCCACAAAAAAACAATAGGCGTAGCTGTTTTTTGAATAATTCGAGAACGCAAACAGCTAGACACCTGCGGTTTTCACCAATCGAAAGAGGAGACAAGGGGACGACTTTTTCGCTAATATTGTATAAGATGAAATCATTTCAAAATCAGTCATTTCTGCAGAACATTACGAAAAATCCATGAAAAGGATCTGTCATTCCGATGAAATTTTGGTTTTGATGTGTGATCTTGACAGAGGAACTTCAGATCTATAGTTCAAGATATAATTCGAATGATTATCTTCCCATATCCTTATGTTTAGCAAATAAAATCATCTGTTTACTCGCATGAAAACTGTGAATTTCTTTTAATTTTTAAGCAAATTATCTTACTTTTCGTCAAAATTTCATCTGAATGACAGATCGTTTTTACACATTTTTTCGATGCTTTGCAGAAATGACTGATTTCAAAATGATTTCGTCTTATGCAATATTAGAAAAAAAACGTCCCCTTTTCTCGTCTTTCGATTGGTGAAAACCACAGGTCTCTAGCTGTTTCCGTTCTCGAGTTATTCAAAAAACAGCCACTTCTGTTGTTTTTTGAAAAGGACAATAGTATGTGATCTTCTTGGTTCAGCAATGTAACAGGCTGCGGTGTGGGTGTGGGGTGAGCGTGGGTGTAGATGTGGGTGTGCGTGGGGGTGTGGGGGTGTGGGTGTGCGCTTGGGTGTCGGCGTGAGCAAATCATACTATGGTCTATTTGATTTCAATCTGAATTCAGAATGAAAAGAAGACGCTCGATTTCAAACAGAAATAGGTGAATAGGGGATATTCGGGGTGTGGCTGTGGATGTGGATCGGTTTGAGTGTGGGTGAGTGTGGGTATGGCTCTGGGTCTGTATGGATTGGGGATGTCGTTGAAGAGTACGGCCATACCCATACCATACCCGCACCCAGACCCAGACCCACACCCACACCCACACCCACACCCACACCCACACCCACACCCACACCCAC